AAAATCCGTTAACTATTCATTCGATAGTTTTAGTCACAAACACGAATTCAAATTTATCAAATATCCTAGAATTAATCCTTATTTCCTGTGGGACGATACTTTACTCATCACAATTATTATTTGTCAACGAACCCGTACGCTTGCGGGAATTCACTCGAACACAGTCCCACTGACGTGCATGATACGTGCACAATTTTTCATAAATGGATGATCATGAGACTTGAAATGGGAAATTCTGCCTACTTTATTATAATGCTTTATCATCTCATCTAAAAATTTAAGATATTGGAGAGGGTCACACATAGTGTAGATGCTACTTATTTGCAATTGACGCTGATTGGATATTTTCCTACGTTCTTCAAATGGAATGATCCACAAGCATGTCAATCTTCTTACAGCCTACCTTTGAGAAATTTTACGGTTGTTCTTTCCTCTTCCCAAGTTGATTTCTACTTTCACATCTTCAGTTACTCTCTGTAGTAAATCCGCAGGTTTCTTAATAAAATTCTTTGAGCAATGACCAAGTAAAATAGCAAATACTTCCTGAGCTGCATGGTTTTTTGCATATTACAATCAGAAGCCTGCTGATGTGATCCGGGGTGCGCCACAAATTACCAAATATTTGAGGATTGTTGGCGAGAAGTTAAGAACCAAATTGAATTTAAATAAAGTCGTTAAAACCGGCCAAATGCGTGTTAGTGCCAAGGAATCAAAGGGGATGGAGGTCACAAGCTTAGGGTCAAGTTATATGAAGATTGCAAGCCAAGGGTCCGCTGCATGTTGGGTTTGGGAGGCAAGGCTATCAACCGGCCAGAATTTTCCAGATTCTTGCGCACAAGTTTTACTCAATTAAAACTCTTAATTTGGTAATTTTATATTATTAGGATTCCTTTAGTCACGTTTTACCATGTTTAGTGTTAGTTTTTCAATTTAATTAGGTTTCTATATTTTCTATATAAATAGAATTTTTATTTTCATTGTAAGATAACCAAGACTTTTATCATGAATTGAATGGAGATTTTCCTCTCGAAGCTTTTTACTTCAAAATGCCGAACTTATCAAGATTTAATATCTTGTGGCGTTCGAACATATCATCGGGTTAGATTCTTTGGGTTGTGTAATCAAAAGGCCATTCGTATCGCCGTTATCATTGGGTTGTTTAATTCATTAATTCTTTGGATCAAGTCCACAAATCCGGAGGAGATTTTAAGATTGTGTGATTAAGAAGTCGTTCGTTTTATATACATTCAGTTCCTTAGTACACTTTTGCGGATCGATTCCTAAACCTTGATCACTATTTGGGCGTTCTTGGGATCCTCCGTTAATTCCTGTGTGTTCGATAGCAACCTTGCTAACCGGGTTCGCATCACCTGCTCAAGTCTTATCACCGATTTCTTAGTTCTATCATATATGTATGACAGAACTTCCTAGCTTGACTGTACATAAAATTCTTTTGGAGGATTTAACAGTGTTACATTGGTCTGTAATGATATCCATAATAAATGGTTACCGGGCGTTTGAGAAGGGATAGCATGGATTCACACTAGAACGTTGTCTCGAAGTCGAACAAATTTTAGTATTCTCCTTCATCAAGGGTTGTAACTTTGTTTTTCAAATATATGGAATGAGTATGTGTGAAAGATTGAATTTTAATCGTCCAAGGAGCTGATCTATTAAAAGTTTAGGGAAGATGAAGAAATATGGTTCTCCAATATTTGCATTTTTATCAATTCCTCTGTTGCTGCCTCGACCAGATCAGTGATCATCAGCATATCAGCCTCAGTATGTACGAGATGGCCTAAGAATATCAGTAGCTTGTTCGAGAATTATATTACATGACCATAAACAGGAAGTTCATATAACTCCATTCAGTCTATTGGTTAACTTCTTGTTGAACGACCTCATCTATAAGTTGTAAGATAGTGGACACATTTGTATACTAAATTTTGGTCTTGTACACTTCCACTCACGTGAATGACAAGTGTGTAATTTTCATAAATCGATGATTGTGAGACATGAATTGAGGTCATTTGCATGATCTAATAAGATGTTGACCTATCTCATATAAAGTTTAAGATCTTACAAAGTGATAACATTCATTTAAAAATTTAATCTTCAACATCCCATCACGTGCATGGTTTTCGTAAATGGGTGATTGTGAGACTTGAACCGAAGTCTTTAGCTTACTATGAAACAATACTCAATCATCTCATCTAAAAGTTCAATATATAGTACTTAATCATCTCGTGTAAAAGTTCAATATGTTAGAGAAAGGTTATACTCGGTTAGATGCTACTTCATTGAGATTTACCTACGTTCTTCAAATGGAATGATCCACACACGTATTTATCATTATTATGGTTGCCTGGAGAAAGTTTATAGCTATTCTTTCCTCTTCACAAGTCGATGTCTACTTTTACATCTTTTGTTTCACTCCCTAGTAAAATCTCAAGATTCTTAATAAAATGCTACCAGTAATGACCAAATAAAACAGAAAATGCTTCCTGAGTTGCAATGGCTCTTTACTTTGCATATCTGGCTTTTCTTCGGAAGTTGTCCTTCATTTTCGTTTTGAGTACTTGAGAAAAACTTTCATGGAAGAGAGTATTAAATAACAAGCATCCAGAAAATATAATGAAAATAAATCATATTCATGTAACATATTTTAATGTTAAAATTTGTCTGCATGTTGTTTGTGTGTGTGTCTGTGTGTTTATTTTATTTTTTGGGTTATGTTTGATACTTCTGAATTTAAAGATGGCCGTGTGGCACACATATTTGGATGATGGAACATTGATAACTAAGCCCTTGTCTGGGCTTCATTTTAATGAATTTTAATGTATTTTGGAATAGTGATTTTTTGAAAAATATGTATTAAAAAAAAAAAAGAAAAAAGGTTTTGCGTCGTGTAATATTATTTTATTGAAAAATGTGCAATTGAAAAAAAGAAAGAGACAAATCCATTAAAATTAAAATGGAGTCCAAACATGCACTAACCCCGTTTGGTACCCATTTTTTTCAAAATGCATTTTTCTCTCTCTTTATTTCAACCACACATTCTCTATTAAAATAATATTACACGTAAATCAAAAACTTTTCTTTATTTTTCAACCACACATTTCCCATCAATTTACTATTCAAAAATACATTTTTACATAAAAATGTTTTATTTTCAATGGCTCAAACTTTTGTAATGGTTAGAAATGGTATTAGATCATGTAAAATAATTGGGTTCAAGTCCAACGATGACTCATTTAAAAAATTGTGTATGTATCAAAGTTTTAATTAAATAAGCAAATAACAAATCCATTCGAATCTTTCGAATACTTAGCTTCGACCAACTGTTATTTAAGCTCTTCAAATTTCTGATCACATTTGTTTGTCCATAAAAACTTTATTTTTTTTTAATTAGCCGAGTCATTAATTATATGATCTTAGAGATTCTTCAATGAATATCTGATAATAGCCAGCTAACTTCAAGAAAATGCAGACTTCGTCGGCATTAGTAACTTAGTTCAAATTAGTCGTTACATCAATTTTAGTCGAGTCAACTTCGTTTCTTTGAGAAGTAATCACGTGTAAAGAACTCCCTCTTTTTCTTTTTTCCTTTTTATAGCTTTTATCAACTTTTTAATTATATATCAACTTTTATCAAAATTCAATTGAAAATTTGATTGTTAGGGTTTAGTTAAAGGGTAATTAGAGCAAAACGTCATTACTTTTCATTTTTGGCATTTTTACCTTTTATTGCAAAAAAATGTCATTTTCATTCAATTTATCAATAAAAATGTAAAATGACAAAATGCCCTCCTATTTAAATAATAAAAAAAAAACACATTGCAATTATACTCCCCAACTTTTTTAAAAAATCGCAAATAAATTATTAAAATGGTAATTAACACAAAATATTCATATCTTTCAATATTATGATGCAAAACATCCATACCTTTTATTTTTTGACATTTTCACTATTATTTTCACATTTGATTGTGAAAATTATTATTTTCATTCATTTTTTCAGTTAAAAACTGTAGATGATAAATATACCCTCCTATTTAAATAAAACAAAATAAAGAAATAAAAATAAATAAAGATTATATTATTACTCTAAATTTTTTTTAAAAATGCAAATAAATTTCAAATAAATAATTGAAAACAAAAAATTTTAAAAAAATCACTTTCTTTTTTATTAAAAGAATTCTCTCTCTTTTTTTTTTTTTTAAAAAAAAGGAACATTCTTTCAACTTTTTAATAAAATCCAATTGAAAATTTGATTCTTAGAGTTTAGCTAAACTATGGACTTGAACCAAATTTAAAACATAGAACAAACAATTATTCCACCCCAAAATATCACTCTACACACCTGAAGCTAGGGATTTACTTTTTCCAGTCCCCTCAAAACCATGAAACTAGCGCCTCTTAACACCGTCGGGAACGCCCACGACGATTCGGTTTGGACTGCGGCGTGGGTTCCGGCCACCGAGGACTCACCGCCGCTTCTCCTGACGGGATCACTTGACGAGACTGTCCGTCTGTGGGACCCGGAAGGTCCCCAGAAGCTCCAGACTAACACCGGTCACTGCCTCGGCGTGGTCTCCGTGGCCGCCCACCCATCTGGTAGAATCGCCGCCTCTGCCTCGATCGACAGCTTTATTAGGGTTTTTGATGTTGCCACAAATAATACTATTGCAACCCTCGAGGCTCCCCCCTCTGAAGTCTGGAAACTGCAGTTCAATCCCCAGGTATAAGTCAACTTACAAAAACACAACTTTGCATATATGTCACCATTATTCCGGGTGTAAATGGGCAAAAATTGGTGGAAGAAAAGATACATGTTACTATGATGAGATGCAATGAGGATTGGAAATTCATGAGAAAAGAAGTCAGTCTAGCAAATGACGGATGTTAGGTGAATCAGTTTGTTTTGAAATGGGAAAGTGCTATGTAATTTTTTGCCTGAATTTATGTTTGCAAGCGCCCGTGCCTGTGGTAGCAGGGATATCGCAAATGAATTTATCAATTATGGGTAATCTGTTTATGGGTTCATGTATCTGGCATGCATGTGAAAGGAGCAAGAAATTTGTTGTTCCCTGTTAATTATTGGCTCTCTTGAAGTAAAAGTATCTTTCTTTTTTTTTTTTTTTTTAATTTTTTTGTTTTGTAAGTAAAACGAAATTGATTTGGTTTTTATTTGGTGAAGTGATTATATTAGTTGTGCCTCTTGTACTGTGCATCAGCAATCGAGTTAAGCTGTAAAAAAATGGGAAGATTTTAGAGAAGGGTGAAAGTTGCAGAAATTGGACTAACAAGTGGGTAAACAAGTGAGAATTCATTTATTAACTCACGTATCTTTCTGGCTGGATGTCTTCCTCCACTAATGGACTCTGTTACTACCAAATCAATTTCATACGCCCAGTTAATGGAGGACTTGAAGCACACTGAGGCGCAATAATGTATGTGGTTGTGAGGTTTCCATAGGTGCAGGGTATAAAGGCAATTTTCCGTTGAACACTAGAAATACAGAAATTATCAGTTTCCCTGTCATTCTTAGCCTTTTCAAATTGACACAGGGAAAGTTGGGGCTTAGCTCATGGTATTAAACTTAGATTGTAATATTATGTAATGAGATGTTAAGTTTGCTAAAAAATTAGCTATAATTTTATGATATTGCCTATTGGCTTGTTAAATTGTTACGGTTTCCTAGCTTACTTGACCTCTATTTTTGAGTGATGATTTCTATTTTATAAGGGTCAGGAGTGAGCCTGAGTGTTGTGATGCACTAGTGAGGCAGTTCAGTGGATGATATTTTATGAAAATTTCTATTTTTTGTTGTTGCTTTTATGGGGCTCAAAATCAGAACTCCTTAGTTCAAAGAACTTGAGCAAATTGTCTGAATCTCAGTCTGTAATTTGCTTAAAATCTTCAACCTGTATTCAACAGAAATCGATTCTCAGATCTCTTTCCTTTTGCTGAATTCAGTATTATTATTCAGTATTACAATAAAGTTCTCGGCAACATAAGATTATAAGGTTGCAACAATTTGGACTATTTTTTTCGTTAGAGCTTTAAGACCCATTAACATGATGCAAACAGAGAATGTGATGTGAAGATGCAAGTTCATGAAGAAAGGATTACAAAACTTGAAAAGATATTTGACGGATTAAAGTAACCAGCTGATGATTTACGGAAAATGATATGAAGATATCTCTCATTGCATGGAATTTACCTAATAAAACTTTTGGAATTACTAAATAAACACTAAAATTTTGAAAAAAATAAATATTGAATTGTCTTAAGCTTAGTGCATTGTGACTGACAATATAACAGAAGGGCATACCATATTAGCTATGCTGGAGGATGTTTATTAGGAAACAGTCAAAACAAAATTTATAGTCCTCCGAATAAAAGAATTAAAGATGCAAAGATCAGTTTCAGGAGGGTGAAACCGTAAATACTGAATTATCGATATTCTTTGGGAGTCAGTGCATTCATCTCTAAACTGAAAACCATATGAGATAAAAGAGAGCTTACTCCTTGAGTTATTTATATCTCCTGCCATGAGGTTCATTGACAATCTTCCATATGCTTCCCAGTCTAATTCACATTTTTTTTTTGCCCATTTCTTTCTGATCTTCATTTTCTCTCCATGTTTTCTCCTTTCCTGGTATTGGTCGCCAAAGTTTTCTAGAAGTTCAACTGGAAATCAAAATTGACATTAAAGTCACGATTATCAACTGTTAAATTTTATCTACGTGGCATTTTTCTCTGAATCTTCTAAAGTCATGAAGTACTTGTTGGGCTGCACTTGACACCAGGTCATGGGGTCATTTTTCAATTGTTGCAGTGATCGCATACTCGCATTTGACCTGTATCTGAATTCAAATAACGTGGTTTGCATGCCTGTCATCTGTTGGTGTACGTAAAGTTTATGCCACAATGAATTTCTTTATGTGTTTATGATTTAGAATATGCATTTTTTTTTGTTGTTCACTATAAAGGTGGTAGGAGACACTTCTGTTCGCGAAAATTTGATATTATATTCTGGACTTGGAACTTCTACACAAACGCTGGAGATCTTCACTAATGCAGTTTTTTATGTGGAATGGCTCTGCTACGTGATAGCCGTTTGCCATGAATGTATGATTAATCTTTCAATCTAGCTCTTTGCATAATCCGATGACTTTCAACCAATAGCTTTTCTAAATGTATGGATATACAAGTGCTTGAAGTTAAGGGACTTCTGGCACTGACGCATTTTGGATAAACTGGTATGTGCCGGTGGATGTGACACATTTCGCAATGGCTTCCAGGCATTGGTTAATTTGGAGACCTGTTTTTCTGTGATACTGGAACTTCAATTGGTGTTCTGAATTATTTGTCTTTGTAATGTTAATTTTTATCGTTTTTAATGGCTTTTAGGAAAAAAATGTTTTTGAGCATGTCTGCATGGGTTTCTTAAATTTTTTTACTGGACGTACTAAATTTTCAGAGATTTGAGATTTTTTAATGTGCATATATATTATAATTCCAAACAGTTGTCTCTTATATGGCTATATTTTAACGCAAGGAAGAGAAATGAGTTTTAAATTTCTCTCTCATCGTCTACTCACCAAGTCTCTAAATTCAATATACTATTCCTTGTTGGATGTATAATGTCTACAAGATAATTAACTCGGCCATCGACTTCATTTTTATCTTTTCAAGGGTACGGTACTAGCAGCAGCTGGAGGTGGTAGTGCATCAGTGAAGCTCTGGGATACCGCTCAATGGCAATTAATTGCAACACTATCTGTACCCCGACTAGAAGGCTTGAAACCCTCTGAGAAAACTGGCAGCAAGAAGTTTGTTCTCTCAGTTGCATGGAGCCCTGACGGTACACAAATTGCTTGTGGTTCAATGGATGGAACCATCTCTATTTTTGACGTGACTCGTGCGAAATTCCTACACCACTTGGAAGGCCACAGTATGCCTGTTCGATCTCTTGTGTATTCATCAGCACCTCTTGATGCAAGGGTTCTCTTTTCTGCCTCAGATGATGGCCACGTCCATGTCTATGATACGGAAGGTAAAACCCTGATTTCGTCTTTGTCAGGCCACGCGAGCTGGGTTTTGAGTGTGGATGTGTCCCCAGATGGAATGGCTATTGCAACAGGTTCAAGTGACCGGAGTGTTAGGTTGTGGGATCTTAAAATGAGGGCAGCTACCCAGATATTGAGTGGCCACACAGACCAGGTCTGGTCAGTGGCATTTGGACCTCCATTAAAGACAGACGTTAGATCTTGTTTGCTTGCTAGCGTGTCTGATGACAAGAGCTTGTCGTTCTATAAATATTCTTGAAAATCGAATCCCTTCTTTTGTTCTTTCGTCAAGGGTCTGGAGAACAGTTTATTGATTTATGTACATTGGCGGGTAGCAAAATTGTTGTTGGTAACTGTTGTCTTTACATGCTACCATTTGTAAGTTAACCTCGGAAGTCTGTAGTTCGATTTTTCTATATAATCTCACCCTTGCAACATATACTTACTAATTTAGTTTGGGTGTCGATATGTCATAACAAATCAGAGGTTGATTTCAAGGACGTGTTTGGCTTATGCGTTGTGCAGTTTCTTTTCCTTTACTTTTTGCCTCAAAGTGGGTTTCAGTATTTTCTTGCACGTTTTAAATGCTGAATACTATTAGAATATGCATCTTTCTCTGTCCCACTTGTGTTTATGTGGTCGAGGTGGGTTTTAGGTGGGTGATTCGAAATGACAATGATGGTTACATATTTTAAATTGAAATGACTTAAGTGGGAATCCGTAAAGCTGGAATTAGACCTAATTTAATGGATTCGAGAATTTGCATGATAAAGATTCATAGATAGATGCTCACACCTGTCTATTTGTTCAAAGGAGAATTTGATACATGATCAAGTCTGACCATCTCATATTTATGGAGATTTTCGAATCGAACAACCTTTTGAGCTATTGATAAATTCATGGGGTGACGAGACAACCTAACAAAATTAAAATATATAAGAAATACGAAGTAGAAGTGATTCCATAGTAATGGTGAGCGAAGTGAAAACATCTTAAACATTGAAAACGAGGTTGTAGGATAGCAAGCGTCGTTAGCAACGTAATGGCAAAAGTTCAGTAACGGATAGCATCATCAGCTTACGCTTTAACTTGTGTATGCAAGTAGTATGGAACATATGAAATTCTTTAACTTGTGTATGCAAGTAGTATGGAACACATGAAATCCCGTGAAAATTCGCAAATATTACTTTGCAAGACTAGACACTTGTGAGATTTAAGAGATGGTAACATTTAGTTAGCTGCAGGACTGGCACATATCAGATTATTTTTAAGAGTTTAAAATCTTCAAAAGTTATACACATTATCTGTCCTGAGAATATGTACTAGTGGTAGATTCTTATCACCCAAATATTCAATTTTACATGACACAAACTAAATAAAAATTTCAAAGCAAAATGTACGAAACTGAATAGAGTAAGTAATAATTTCATAACTCAAAGGGCATCAATGGAGTCTTGTATTGCTCAAATACTTCTTAAGCACATCCATGACAGACCCAAACTCTGCCTTCACTTTAACCGGTGGATTCGCGTACTTGCAAGCCATATTTTTAATCTCCCTAGATTGATAATCAATCTTTGACTGCGTAAATTTCAATCCATGGGCCGTACTAACGACTACGGTCTTATCAGTCGAACCAATGATCCCACTATTCCGAAGCTTAATCAATGCTGTCAATGCAACCCCCGTATGCGGGCATATGAACATCCCGGTTGAATCTGCCAATGCCATAGCATCCATCAATTCCTCCTCGGTCGCCTCCTCAACAATCCCGTTCGAATTCTTCAGAGCATAAACAGCCCTATCGACCGAAACAGGATCACCAATCTGTATAGCAGAAGCAAATGTTGTACTAGCCTTCAGTGGCCTAAACTCCTTCCACCCTGATTTGTAATATAAATACAATGGATTCGCATTCGTGGCTTGAGCACAAACAAGCCTAGGAATCCTATCAACTAAACCCAATTCTTGGCACATTTTGAATCCTTTGTAAAATGCATATATATTGCCCAGATTTCCTCCAGGAACTATAACCCAATCTGGTACTTCCCAATCAAATTGTTGCAAAATCTCAATTGCAGCAGTTTTTTGTCCCTCAAGTCTCAAACTGTTCAATGAATTAGCCAAGTATATAGGCAATTCAGATGTAATTTCGCGTATTAATTTCATGCATCCATCAAAATCTGTGTCAATGCTAAGAACAAATGAACCATTTGCAATAGGCTGCACCAGTTGAGCCATGGAAATTTTGTTCGCCGGTAGAAAAACTATGGACGGGATATCAGCCGCAGCGCAATAGGCTGAAAGAGCGGCGGAGGTGTCGCCTGTCGAGGCGCAGCCTACACCAACTAATGGTACATTCATTTTCCGCAACCTGTTAACTTGGCTAACCAAAACTGTCATGCCCAAATCCTTGAAACTGCCAGTATGGCTAATGCCACAGTGTTTAACCCACAAATCATTCATTTCAAGAAATTTTTTCCCATATCTTTCGGCCCAGAAAAGATTTGAATTACCTTCAAACGCACTCACGATGTCATCGTTATCAATTTCTGGCAAAACCCATTCTTTCTTGGACCATACGCCGGAGCCGTACGGCCATTTAGTGGTGCCAGTTCTGGAGTCGAAAAGGGTCTTCCAGTATTCTCCGTCGAACTGTTTCAATGCTTCCATGTCATGCTGTATGTCCAAGAGTCCTCCGGCGTGGCTGCGGTACACAATATCGTCGAGGGAGTAGGATTCAGTGGTGGAAGTGTTGGTGGAAATGGAGTTGAAGGGGACGTACTTGGCGGAGAAGTTAATGTTTGACGGAGAAGGCGGTGGAGGAGATATGTTGTTGACAGCGATGGGCGTGGCGTTGCATTTTATGACAAGTTTTGGCATGTAGTGGTGCACGGTGGACGTTGAATGGGAATTCACGAGGAAAGAGTAGGAAAGGAAAGAATTGAAGAGTTGAGAGGAAGCCATTACTCGTTGTTGGTTTTGTAACGGTGAAGGTAGTGCAGTCGGCGGTTGAAGTGGTGGAGTCGGTGGCGGTGGAGGTGGAGGTGGTGGTGGTGAGGCGTCTGTGTTTGGAATTTATTTTGATATTTATTGAGATTTGAGGCTTATCTGTTAACAGAAAATATAAAATTCTACGAGGATTATGACATATTAAACGTGTATGATTATAAATTCAATATTCTTTCTGTTATGTAACATACCATACAAGTATGAATTAATTGGAGAAGTACTCTTCCGATTTCACAAAAATAGTGTTTTTTATTTTACACTGATTAAGAAAATATAATTAATATAGTTAAAAATATAAATTTTTTTTACATTTTTTCTTAATATACTTTCCCAATAAATAATTGTTTAAATAAGAGTAGTTCATACTTGTTGATATATTAATAAAATTAAAAAATAAAAGAAAAACAAATATATTTTTATGGAATGAAAAGAGTAAAATATATAAAGAAAATTTTTAACTCCATCTTTCGTCTTTTCTATTTCACCTTCGATTGATGATAAGCACTAGTTGATTGGTACTCTACAAAAAATAAATTTAAAGATTTTAGTGTTTAGCACCATTGAAGCTACATAAAATTATTCTTTTTTTAATATATGAATATAAGCACTTTATTAAATTTATTATTTAATATTGCGTATCCTCACAAATTATACACAGGTCATTCATGCCTAACATTACATTATAAATAATATTTTTTCTATTTTGTAACATACAATAATGAGGGCAAGGCTTTTGTTTTTGTTTTAACTTCTGAGAAAGTTATCTCAACTTATATTTGTACATTAAAAGAGATGTTTTTTTTAGAGAGCTTTTAAAAAATAATATTGAACTAGCTTCCATTGAAAGTTTTTCTAATTAGAAAGAAAAAATGTTATAGAATTAAACAATCGGATTTAAAGAGTAATGATATTCATTGTCACTATTGTTAAGCAACCAATTTAAATGACGATTACATGATATTAAGCCTCTGTTTGACCCCTATTTTTGGTAATGAAAATGAGGGAATAGTGTTTTGTTGAAAAAATGAGTGGTTGGAAAAAAAAAGGAAAAATTTTCGATTTACGTGTAATATTATTTTATGGAAGATTGTGTGGTTGAAAATAAGAGAGAGAAAAATAGAATATAATGGAATGTAATTTAGGAGGTATTTGAGCAACATTATTTTGATAATAATGCATTCTTGAATAGTGTATTGATGGGAAATGTGTGGTTAAAAATTTTTTCCTAAAAGTTTTTGATTTGCATGTAATATTATTTTATTGAAAAATATGTGGTTGAAATGATGTCAAATAACTATGTAAGAATATATTTTTTTGGAATAATGTGACTCAAACAGGCCCTTAATGAGGATCAAACATGGGCTAAATGATAAATTCATTTAAATGTAAAGTTTCATGACTCATTTAATTGAATTTATAAAATATAATAATCTAAATTGATGGTTTAACACCACTTCTACTAGAAAGCATTATTCCAAATTTAAAAGCAATTTTTGAGTCATAAAATCTCTTTTTAACTTCTCAAAAACAATGAAAAATGAGCCCAAACTAAAATATAAAATCGGTTTGATTTGATTCGATTCGGTTATTTAGTTTGAACTTTTAGTCCAAATTGATTTATTTATTTTTTTTAAAAATAAATATGAATTTTGGATTCACTTAAATTACAAGAACTAAAATAACCAAAAAAATTTATATTACAAAAACTATTAACTAACAAATAAAATAAGGTTAATAGAGACGGAACATAAAACTTTAAAATTTTGTTGTTTTTTTTTACATATTATGTAGTCTGACTGCCTGAGTAGGGGAAAATGTTAAGTACAACATAATGAGCTCGTGAAAAGAAAATTTTTAGTGCTATTACGTACTTATTAACAACATCGTAGATTTGAGGGGATCAAGATATATTTATGAGATTATGGTTTATTTTTTGATTTTTATTTTTCTTAAATTAATTAAGAAGAAGGTAAATATGTAAGTGGGTTGTATTGGTTCAGTTAACTTCAAATTATGACTGAACCAACTCACCATAATTTTATTTAAAAGAAAATCAAATCAAATGAATTACTTATGTCAAACGGACCCAAATCTATTCTAGTCGGTTTGATTTTATTGATTTTTCAATTTTTTTGTCCAAGCCTACTTGGTAGTCAAATTTTAGGTCAGATTGTGTTGTATTTTGAGTTATTAAAATCAACCAAACCGGTTAATAAAAAATATTTAAAAAAAAATTTTATTTACAAATTATAATAAATCTCTAAATCACTTGGAATTTTAGTCATGTCTCTCTCTTCTCGCTTGTCGCCAGCCACCTCCTACCAATCCACCACTACCTCTTCATTCTCCTCTTCATTTTCTACTGGAACATGGAGGACTCTCGCCTTCCCTTCAAGCTCATGTTTGTCAAAACCCAAAAATCATTGCCATGGTACAACGGTCGATGGGCCTCCACAATCTTTTACTCTTTTCGAAGTTTGTTAATTGA